AAATTAGTGTCTTAATTGACACTTGATGGTTTAGATATTGGACAATGTCCGTGTCAGTCTTATGACAACGGGTCTAATATGGATGGCATTTCTAAATCAGTACAAACTAGGATTACAGAAATGAATAAGCTGGAGGAATTTGTGCCATGTTTGGCTCCTTCTCGTATCTTGCCGGTGTGCATTCTGCTTCTTCGTGCACGAAAGCAGTTAATCTGTTTGGAATTACTCAGAAAAAAACTTCGCTTTTTTTTGTCGGATGCACTACTCGATCGATGGTGTATTATGAAACAATGTTCAAAATACAACTTAAAAGGAAGCAGCCAGACAAGATTGTCGGCAAAATATGCAGCTGTGAAAGTCCTTCTAATAAATTTACCGGAAATATAAAATATTTAAAAGAAATTAAAGCTATTTCTCTCGATGCTGAATCAAAGCACGAGGTAGGACATCTCGTACACGCTGTGAAACATTTTGAATTTACTATCAACCTGAAAATTTGAGCTAATATTTTTCCAGAATTCAATCGAGTAAATATAGATATTCAAAAGGAATTCCTCTTCCACATTCTGTGTAGTTAACGAAAGAACTGACCAAAACTGAGGATTTATAAAAAATGAGAGAAAAATCTTATGGAATATTGGATACAAGAGTCTAAAACAGTAGCCGAAAAAACTGCAGTTGAGCTTATTCTGACGCAGAAAAAATTCCAAAGCACAAAAAAGCAATCTGATGAACTGTTTGAGGACGAATCACGAATACGTAAACCTGTTCAGATCGAAGTTTCAGCAAATTAAAATATATTAAAAACTATCTATGATCATCGGTGAGCCAGAAGCGTTTATCAAGTCTTGTGATTCTGGCAACCGAAAATCAAATCGCAGATCAAATTATGACGATTCCACGCATTTTTTTGCAGAACAAAAGGCTTACAGAGTAAAATTTTAATTTTCATTACTAATTCTGTGATATTTTAATAGCGTTAAGGTAAGAATTAAAATTACTTATGAAATAGGAAGTATGGAAAACAAGACAGGAAGCACGAATACTCTCGGTAATAACCCACATTCTGTATAATTTTTTCAGAATATTTCTTTTCGTCAATTTTCCCATTAGTGGCTGAGCAATAAAAGCTACTGAGCACTAGTAGTTCGGTCCGAGGGTCAAGTATATGTGAATGTGCTGGCGGTATGAGCATTTCCGTGATTTTCCCCGTAACAGAGATACGACGTAGTTTCTCTTTCAAATTTTTTCCACTGGGCATTCCTCCTTTCCCATGCAGTGCTTAATGGCGAAATACATAGTAAATAATCAGACAAATGTCCTCAGCAGTGGCTGAAGGATTAAGACCGCTGAATACTGGCAGTTCGACCTTGCCTGGGTTCAAACCCAGGCGAACGGGCAACAACAAATCGTGGATTTCCTCATGAATATGAGCCAGTTTCCTTTAAATGTTCCTCCACGAAAGCACCTTCCTCTAGCAGATACGAACCAATTTCCCTTAAACAATGTTTCCACGGACATTCCTCCCTTTCCATGCAATGCCTAATGGCGAAACATATAGTAAATAATCAAACAAATCTCCTCAGCATTGGTCGAGTGATTAAGACTCATGAATACTGGTAGTTCGCCCTTGCCTGGGTTTAAACCCAGGAAAACGGGCTGGCTGCATGGTTTGTTTTCATGGATTTCCTCATGTGTAACGTGAATACGTGCCAAGCCTTTTCTTTAAAAAGAAGTTTCTCCACGAAAACACCTCTAAGCTGATAGCTCTTCTGTCTTTGTCATATTCATATAATCTAACCTAACCTAATTTAACCAGTATGCAATAATATGGAGTAGTGAGAAACTTAGGAGATGCCCGTTTCCCCTAGAGCGGATGAACGAATGGTGGCGAGCACTGGAGAGTTAAAAGCACTCAGGATTAGAGTAAGGATTAGGATTGACTCCGAAAGTAAGCTTAACAGAAAGGCGATTCTCTAAGGAGGAGAGGATTTTCTAATTATGTAACTTTGGTACGCATTTTTCCTTTGTAACAAACAAACAAAAAAAAAAAAAAAAAAAAAAAAAAAGGGGGGGGGAGGGGGCATGTAAAGAATTTAGTATAAAATGGAGCTTAGGTTTTTACCTCAAACCCTATCTATTTCTGTATTTATTAAACAAATTAAAATCTGTTACAGAAATTTAAAGGATGATGGGGTGAGGGCGGCAGTTTTAGCTTTTGCCCCACATCAGAAAATCAAAGATCCGGTGCTGACCTGTCTGTACTCGCGTGCACCAAAGGTTATGTTAATGCAGAGGAAGGGGCGAAAAGCTACTTCTGAGAGTATGATTCACCATCTAGCGTTCCATATAAGGAAGAAAAGTTGTTTATTTAGCATCGGCTTTGGTACGGGGGGAAAAGTGTGCGTTCGTTAAAAAAAAGCACTAAAAGCAAAAAATAAGCACTAAAAACAAAAAAATAAGTGCTTTAGAGAAAAAGTAAGCACCTATAAGGGCTTTTATATTTTAATTTCAAATATAACGACTTGTAAGGGCCGCTACGAATCCTGCAAGAGGATCTTGAATATATGAATTCTCTGTCTGATGAAGAACAGATAGATGATTCTGTCACAAACTGTAACACATCAGTAACATGTGGTGAATCTGAAACAGAAGATATCATAGGAGCTATAGAAATTCTATCAAAAAACATGTGAAGAACCTAATTTTGAAGTAAAAGCCTCGAAGTGGAAAAAATGTGTAATAAAATTCATGCTTTCACCAAGCTGTATTCCTTTTCAAGGCCATCAAAATATTCTACATGTGGTTTCAGAAAAACTACCATTGAACTTTTTCACATGATGACTCAAGACATATCACATACAGTTGCAGAGACTAACTGGTAAGGAAAACAAGCAAATGATCATTCTTTTAGTGTCATTGAAAGTGAATTCAAACAATTCCATTCTAATTTTGAAGGACATGCCTTGTAGATATCCCATTTTACCACATGAAAAAATGTATTCAGAAAATGCTCCCAACACAACTTTACTGAGGCAGGCTATGTCCAGGAATCAGTAGTGATATCAAATGTTATGTTCATTTGAATCACAGCTCTAAAATCATTAAAGATGACCGTTACTACAAAATTCGAACACTTTAAAAAAAACTGAATAGTGTTTTTGAAACAGTTTTGAGAATTTTCAGAAAATCTAACAATCAATGAGACTAGTGTGTTATTTTGGTATGCATGATTGTAAGATATTCATGAACAAGAAATTCTTGAAATTTGGATACAAATTATGGATGCTGACATCTTACAACAAATACCCTTCAATATCAAACAAAAAATCATTTTTCATTCAAGCTCAAGAAAATCATTTTTCTTGAGCCTTGGAACCTCTTTTCAACACATTTTGGAAAGCTTGCTTTTGATAATGTAAAACCTAAAATCTCACAGGATATACATGGACAATTTTTTTCACATCTTATGGGTTATTTGTTCATTTGAAAGAAAAATAATATTGTGCAACTGGAACTGTACAAGATAATCAAATGGCAAAATGTTAACTTGTGTTTTCGAAAACATTGAGTAAAATGGAGAAAGGATCTTCTGATGCACAGTTTGATGAAGCAATACAAAAATGTAGTGGGTTTTATTTTACTTCTATCCAAGGAAAAGTGGTGCTGGCTGGAAGATGACAGTAAAAAAAAAAAAAAAAAAAAAAAAAAAAAAAAAAAAAAAAAAAAAAAAAAAAAAAAATTTGCAAATGATGCAGTATTAGATTTTGTATCAACTATTTTCCCAAATTTCATTTCTAATTGCCTCTTGACTAAGTGGGCAAAATTTTTATGAAATTTAGTTGTGCACTAGACTGTCCTATTAATTACAGGTTGTAACTTATCAAAATCAAAACAATGTCTGAAAATTTTTGTTTAACATGTATTACTACCTCACATTATTGATGTCTCTAAATTGTTAAATTTTTCTGGTGAAAATTTTTTAGAGTAGTTCAGTATGGATTAAATTACAACACTGCAACAGCAAAATGATGCATGCAGACATGTTCACAAAACCTTTGCCCAGACAACTGGAATTTTTGCTGAAAAAAATTGGGTCTTGCTACAGATGGCACAGCTCATCAAGTGGGAGACTGTAGAATCACCGACAAAAACGGAAGCAAAGAAGCTGCCCAGCCAGTGTTACCCTCACCATCTAAACTTAAAACAGACTTAACACTACTGAAACTCTCTCTTGCATAACTTTTTACACTCCATTATACAGAGCTGATGGTGTTTGTGTTACAATGCACTATTTTTTCCTTTCTTACAGCTAATAAATGTTTCTATATTCTGCTTGCGTTTCTCATGATCCCAGTTTGGATTATTCCTCAATGAGGAAAGAAACTTTGATTCTACTTCAATATTTGCTTATCGGCAATTAACTGTATTTAGATGACAAATGAACAAAGCATTCCTTCAATAAATACTGCTGTATAGAGGAACTAGCAAATGATGCTACAAATAAACAACTTATGTTTTTTTCATGTCTTATTTTTTGTGACTGTGTCTCTTCTGCTCATGCAGACCTATTAAAAAAATGTTTGTGGCAATATGTTGTACCGCCTCTAAAAGTTTGTTGCAAAGTTCTGAATTATCTTGCGTAAAGCACGAATGGGCAGTAAGAAATCCACTTGAAAGTCTCCAAGGAGATAACGGATAAGTATCTTATCTCACACATGATCATAATTATTGCGCATTTAACAAGATTCTTGAAGTGTTATATTTGAGGACTAATAAGCCACTCAAATACACAAATAACATTCAGTCCGTTATTAAAACTAATGATCAGAATTTTAATTTTAAACAATAATTAAATGATTTTCATCAGAGATTTAAAAAAATGATACATTGTTGAAGAACATATTTTTAATTATATATAGTTTGTTTTGAACTATAATGCTGTATTTAATACTCCTGTAATTTCAAATCTGCTTTAAAAGAAACTAAACAACTACATATAAAAGATGCATAAAACATATTTATTAACGTAAAAGTAGTTTAAAATGTTAAGTTTGGTTAACATTCAAAAAACAAATTTGGCTTATTTCTCATTCAAGTGTTCAACACCAAAATCTTGTCACAATAACTGCGACAAATATTATTTGGAAAGAAAACAGCTTCACACATATGGAATGCCTTCATACAATGTCAGGATAAAATATGTTTTACAAAAACCCAGCTACATTCTTACATAAAAAATTAACTCCATAAAAGGCACAACATACTTTAGGAATAGACTTTCAAGACTGCCGAAAAGTATATACATAAGTGAAGGCTTTTCAAAACTTGTCTTTTACATATACTACAAGATACTTTAACATAGTCCTTTATGATAGAATAAAAATATTTTGCTACACAGACTTATATGAAAAAAAAATAATATATATATATATATATATATATATTAGAACAACACTTGAAAATTTACATCAGAAACAAAAAACATTACATAAATAAAAGATGCTTAAATTAAAAACGCAAAAATTACTTATGATTAATTTATAAAGCCCAGTAAACTAATTTCCAGTTATTTACTAAAGACAGTACATATATAACAAATACTATTTTTAACAAGTTTGTGTTAACTAAGTTTTATAGGTAACATATATATAAAAATAACAGTTTTCATATAAATATTCACCATTAATAAAACTGAATTCCAAAAAGCAACCTTCATTTTCTCAACATGCAGATCTTTGATGCTTTGCTAAAGTTTGTTATAAACCAGAAAAAGTTTATTTGAAAACAATATAAAATTCAGCTATCTTATTCTCACATTTTTAATGACTTTTATTTCATTATCATTGACAATCGTTAGTACACATATTCTACTTAACTTTAAATCTTCATGTACTGAACGAATTAGCTTTAGCTTTAATCAGTCAACATGAAATAACACATGCATTCTATAATACATACCACACAGCATAAACCAATAATCATTCAAAATGATAAAAAATGCCATTTTATCAAGGAATTATTCAGAACCAATGTAGCAAAATTAAACAAGTGTAAACAAATAAAAAAGGCAAGATATATATACATACACATACACAAAGTTATCATAAAAAAAGGGTACAGACTTCCAATCACACATTTTCTTTAAATTTTATACTTTTTCAGCATCAGGAGTAGATCAGTTTTAAGAAGTACAAAAGTTTTTAAATATTCTTCATACAGCAAGCACTTCAGATGTTCTACATAACAGAGTTAACTGACAAAGCGGTTTCTGTACTGCAGTCAGTTTGGGGAAAAAATTAAAAAAATACTCCACTTTGTTTCAAAATATGCATTGAAAAGTTATTTAACCCTCTCCCTGACTGACCTATGTTACCTTGGGATGAGAAAACTATCATGCAATGACCTGCCTGAGTATACTTAAGTGTCCTCAAATGCTTATTCATTGCAAAGCATATTTTCCTTCCCTCACTGAAGCAACTGCTAGCAATCAATGCTACAAAAGACAAAACAACAGGATTTTCCCTTCAGAGAGTTCAACAGAAGAATAAAACTGCACCTCTTTTCTTCAGCGAATAGTATTCTATGTGTATGCACTAAAAATCTACACTCATTTTCTTAATTAATTTATTTTTATTTCATTCTATTTGTACTAACCCCAGCAGTAACTGCAATGCTTTAGAAGTTAACTGGGTGTTGACACTGCACGATATGTAGTTTAACACAAAATGTTTCGTACTTCCCAGAGAAGGAGAATGCATTGTCAGATAGGGAAATCAACTACATTTGACTTGGATGACAAACTTTTTCAGAGCAGTTTTTTTCCAACTTCTTACCACTGGAGTAAGAAATTCATTTTATTAAGCTATCATTTAAGGTGTTAAGTCATACTACTTATTCAAATAATTTCATGAATTTTGCACATAAAAATGAGGAATTTTTTTGCATTTAATCAATTAAAGCTGAATTATAATTTTCTAACAGGACTTTTTCCCCCCTATATGACAGTCATAAAAAAATTAAAATTTTGTACTTTAAAAATCATTCTACCACTAATGCTGAAATTTTGATAATCTTGCCTAAGATCTACAGGTAAGGAATAAAAAAAATTACAATGTTACATGCTATATTACACATTACAAAATGTGTGAAAAACTTAGAAATGTATGGCATTGCGTCTTTTTACATTTCAGAATAAAATTGACTGGAATACAGCTCTAATCGAAGTCATATTTATTTAGCCAATAATAATTCATTCTCATTCTTTCACAATATATTTCACATAATGAAATGGGAGATACGATATATGAAAATACATACACAAAAATACACTATTAATTTTTTTAACCATCACAGATCAATTTTACAATGCATTAAAATTTAAGTCACACCAAACAGAATATAGGAGAAAAGAAAGCATACACATTTCCCTCCAATCATAAGTAACTGTGAATTGTTGACCACATAGTTTGTTAAGTTCTCACAAGCTATTAAAAAATGTATTAACTTCAGAAACAATGGAAAACTGAATCATTCCTAAATTTGGTTACTTCTTTTCCCTTTGAGCAAAATGGTTAACTGACTTTAAAACTTCCTACAATTCAGTGATATTTTCAGCATTTAATAAAATCATCAATAGATTCTATCAAGAAAAAGGTGTTGTTGAATCAAACATTTAATAGCCCTTTAAAATCAACTTACATTGTTATGAAATAGGTTTTAAATGAAGTCTGTAAAAATCTCGAAAATTCATACAAATGAGCACTACCAAGCATGTTTTTGTGAAAAACAATTACCCAGGAGTTTTTCTTTGACTGGAGCAAGGAATTAATTCAAATTATGAACGATTAAGGATGATCCCCCACAGCAACCATAATGGCTGCCACAGCACTGAAAATGAGTAAATAACTGACGTAAAAAAATTATTGACATATTAATGTTCTGTAAGTGAATACATTACCTTTCTTCAGAAAGCAATATTTTTACAAAGTGAGCATTAAATGAGACCCCTTTTTTTTGTGCATGGTGTACAATATATAAACTGGTTCAGATGACCATAAATATTTTAGAAAATAAGGCTTGCATTATCTAATATTACAAGGTGAATTATTTGTGTTCGTGGGCGGGGAGGAATATTTGGTTCAAATATTTCTAATAGACACACTATATAATATTAACAATCATGGCCAGATTACACTGAAAAACCTTTTATTCATATGCATTACATGTCAGTTATTCACTCATTTTCAATGCTATAGCAGTCACAATAGTTGCTCCAAAGAAGACATAACATATTCTTTCGTGCACTTCACTGAGTTCTTTGGTGGAGATGTGCATTCGTTTCCTCTCGCGTCCTGGCCTTTACCAACAGCCTGTAGCCTGCCATTCCTTCACAATGTTGATATAGCTACCGCTGCTAGCTAGGACTCATCCTTGACTAGTTTCACATACACTCCTATTGTAAAGTTCTTTCATGGAGTGTGTTACCCTTCTGCAGACCATGCATGTAAGTTTGCTTTAAGGATGTTCTCCCACAGCAACCACAACGTCTGCTACAGTATTGAAAATGAGTGAATAACTGACCTAAAAACATTATTGAAATATAATGCACTGTACATGAATAAATTATTCCCAGTATAATCTATTATTATTAATATTATGTAGTGCCTCTATTAGAGAAAACTTACCAAATATCCCCCACAAAAGTAATTCAACTTGTAAATACTATATAATGCAAGCCACATTTTCTAATATTAATGCAGATTTTCATAAATTTCTAAAATATTTATGGTCATCTGGAACAATTTACATATCACACATACAAAGGGCTCTTTTAATGCTCAATAATTGCTTTCTTAACTTTAGTACAGTATCTGAGAGGAATAAGAAGTTTCTACTAGTTTCCAGAGAAATTTGAAGCATTTTGGGAATTTTATTAAAGATAAAAAATTTTGTCTTTCTAACTTAAGAGCATAATTTGTAAGTATGCAATAACTTAAAAATTGTAATTCAAGAAACACGGATTAAAAACAATTTTATTGAGATCCACTTCATATAAATGGGCTTTTTAAAAAAATCTGTGATTAAAAAAGATTACTAGAGTAATGAAACCATAAATAACTCAAACAAAACTTTAAATGCATATATTTACTGGTATCTTGCTCAGAATCACCAAAACTAAGGACAATCTCACGTGAATAACTAGGTTATATGAAATGTCAAAATTGAATTCATTTTGAAAAGTAAAATCAAGTGAACTAAAATAACAACATCAACATATTAAAATAAATTTCTAGCATGCACCACAAAAGTGAAAAACGCAACCCTTTTAAACTTTTAACAGAAATCAAACACCAGTAATGAGAAACAAACACAAGACTAATTTCTGAAGAATGCAAGAATAATCCTATTTAAAAAAAAATACGGAATAATTTTTTTTATTAAACTATGAACTTTTGATTAAGTAAACTGATGAGAAAAGGATTATGAAACTAACATCATACATCTCTTTCTTAAGCAATAAATACAGCAAAAGATACACTTTTCAAAAGTTTGCTTTCAACAATGTTAACCTTTGGGACACAAAAACTAATTACATGTAATAATAATTTATTTTTTGAAACAGATTCAGAAACACAAAACATGTATGTCTTAATGAAGGCCTTTTCCCACATCTGTAGTATAACAATATGAAATGCTAAGCTACTCAGTAACTGAATAAATAAATCTCGGTGGGAAAGGAAATAAATAAAATTAAATTAAAAGTATGAAACTTAAAAGTTAGGTAAAATACCTATCAAAGATAATTTTTTACAGTAATTACCTAGATTTCAGATATATTACTGTAAGCATAATTTTTGATTGCTAATTTAAAAGATAAATTATGTACAGTGGCAAATACTCAAATGCACTTTTGACTAAGAAATTTTGATTGAAACAGTAGTGACAAAACACAAACGTGGATTATCAGTGCACACTCAAGTTAAATCCAAACAGCAAGATTCAGTAAAAGATGAATCCTTATATATAGTAAATAAAGTAAGTCAATAAAATGTTTCACAAGAGTGTATGAAATTAATAATGATTTCACCTTCACTCATCACATAATTCACTCTCTAAAACATCTCAAAAGATATGAAGAAACACTCAGTTTACTACCCAAAGAGAGAAATAAAGCCTTGCTACTCACTGAATTTTGTCACCAAGTCCTTTCCTTAAATTCCATGAGACAAAAATTTAAGTGTTTTTAAAGTTTACTTATGGCTTTCAGAACACTAATATCGTATACTGAAAACTGTATTTCATTTTTAAACATCTTCAAAAAATATATGAACCTTGAAGAAAGTGAAATTCTATAGTTAAGCATTTTCTGAAATGCAAATCTTGCTTATTTCACCTTCAACATAAAATAAAATATACTTTGGTCAGAAAACATACCCACACAAAAGAATATAAAATAAAAAATAATCATAAACTGGAAAGCAAAAACTGAGGTATTCGGCTATCTTTTTTGAAGATAGGGAAGCATACATTTCAGTATCTTCTGCTTTTAGATGGTGGAATATCAATGTCTATAGAATCACTACCTAATATAAGCCTTACTCTTTTTGTACCAGGTTTCATTGGAGAATTTAAAGACAACTCTGGCTTCTTCTCACTTACAGAATGTGAATAACAAGGAGAAGATATACGAATATTTACAGTATGGTCTGCAAGAGAAGAAAATGGAGTATTTTTCTTTGATTTTGGAGGCAATGTATTTAGTTTCCCTCCTCGTATGCTTTCATTCATATCATGATTACCATTACAATTAATAGGTATTATTTCATAAATCATGCTTTTGGACTGAAGACATGACTTATTAACATTTTCACAGAGATGCTGTTCAATAAGTGATGTATTTGTTGCTATGGAGTTACAATCATTAGAGCTGTTTCTAACTCTTACAGTCAATTTTAAACAACCTTGGGCACATGAATGGGAATTTGCTTGAACTTCCAAATTTGTAGCCGTTATTTCATCTGATAAAGTTGTTGACTCATCTGATTCAACCACATCTAGAACTGGAGCCTCAGACATGATAAACGAGCTTCTTTGGCAACTACTACTTGAAACTGAATTTGAGCAATGGCTGGAAAAGACTGATAATCTTGGTAATGTAGCAACATCTGAAATACTTGTATTCTTCTTAGTTAATATGCGACCAGCATCTTTCTTAGGTGTTTTATTAATAGAGACACTTGAAAATTCTCTTGAAACATTTTTGTTTCCCTGAAACTTTGATGTTTTCTCTATATGGCTGCGTAATGTTCTCTTTTGAAAATTAAGAGAATCCCTGAAACGACTCCTCGTCAATATCTGGTTTGATAAATCAGTTGAAGTACCAGAAAATTTCCTTTGGCAGTTTGAATTTCCTTTGGCAGTAGCTGAATTGCCTTTCCTTTTAAGCTTCTGAATGGATTTTGCAGAATTTCTAGGCTTGGCAATCACATTTTTGAGAGAAGAATTTAAAGTTTTATCATCTTTTTTTGGTTGAAATAAAGAGTCTGGAATTTCTTTTCTTCTAAGTGGTACACTCTCAGTTATCAGTGAATTAACCGAGTCTTGAATCGAATCTGTAGCACCTTTCGGCTCATCCAACCTATAACTCAAGCTTTCTAGTATATCATTAGGAAGACTCCTACAGTAAACCACCAGCTTCTTTTTCTCTTCAACTAAGAAAGAGATAAAATATGATTTAGCATCACAGAAAACATCATCACCTGAAAAATTTCCATTGAATGAAAACTAAAAAAATTTTGAAGCTACAAAAGATTTAAAGAATTTTTAGAAAACTAATTATAATACTGCATTTCTAAACATTTAATAAAAATAATGGTACTATTTAAGACCTATCTGTGTATTATATACAAATCCACAGTCCATACTAGGAAAAACATAAAAGAGTACATTAAAAAGTCCCAAATCCAGACCTCAACCCCAAAAGGAGGTATGCCGTAGTGATTTTTCTTTGGACTAAAATTCCCATGCTGTTACTTTTAAACATTGGCTAGCTAGGGAATCACACTGTGGTCGATGGCAAGACACTGACTGATGCTCAGGCTTGAGTTATTTCATATGTGTATGGGTGGTTAGCACATTTCGATCTAATCGAAACAATAATAGAAGCTCCAAGACTTAATTATTTGGAAAAGGGATGTTGCTCATACTGGTTTTCTTTTGACACAGTAGTGAGGAAAAGAAAAGAATTAGATTCCAAGAACTCAGTTTGGTTAACCTAGCCAATTGTTCTCTTCTGATCGAGTTTACTGTTTTTTGCAGATTATAATAATTACAGCTATCTCACCAAAATTAAAGTTTGTATTTTTGATTATGTTGAAATGAGTTTCGGATTCTAGAGCCACAGCAGAATCTCAAAGTAAACACATATTTCAATGGCAATTCAGCAGAAAATAGATTTATTGCATAAAATGGATAATGGCATATCTAAAAAATGCAAGGAGTATAGCATTAGAAAGTAACCTTAATTAAAAAAAAAAAAAAAAAAAAAAAAAGGAATTTTTTGACTGAATAAATAAATCTCTGTGGGAAAGGAAATAAATAAAATTAAATTAAAAAAGTATGAAACTTAAAAGTTAGGTAAAATACCTATCAAAGATAATTTTTTACAGTAATTACCTAGATTTCAGATATATTACAGTAAGCACAATTTTTGATTGTTAATTTAAAAGATAAATTATGTACAGTGGCAAATACTCAAATGCACTTTTTGACTAAGAAATTTTGATTGAAACAATAGTGACAAAACACAAACGTGGATTATCAGTGCACACTGAAGTTAAATCCAAACAGCAAGATTCAGTAAGAGAAGATGAATCCTTATATATAGTAAATAAAGTAAGTCAATAAAATGTTTCACAAGAGTGTATGAAATTAATAATGATTTCACCTTCACTCATCACATAATTCACTCTCTAAAACATCTCAAAAGATACGAAGAAACACTCAGTACTACAACAAAGAGAGAAATAAAGCCTTGCTACTCACTGAATTTTGTCATCAAGTCCTTTCCTTAAATTCCATGAGACAAAAATTTAAGCGTTTTTAAAGTTTACTTATGGCTTTGAGAACTATCGTACCCCAGCTAGGGCATGCCATTTGATGAGTACAATGCTAATGTTTCAAGGTCAAATTAGCTAATAAATATTTAGTGAAGGAACAGACTAAAAAAATTGAGGGCACATATTCAACAGGTTGGTTATCCAAATTTAAAATTCACCATAGGGTAGTTATAAATGTCATTTAAAAAGTCTCAGCTGACATTGAAACCGTTGAAAAATTTGCAGATAAATTGACTGAATTAAGAGCAAAAAGTTATCCCCAGAAAAAATTTATAATGCTAATAAAACTGGTTTTTTCCACAATATGTGCCTCAAAGTATCTTGAAAATTTATAGCAATTTATAATCAGTTTGAAAATCATGTCCTACCGAGGGTGAGCAACATTTGAAATTGTATGGTTTATGGGAGGACGCAAAAGTTAATCTTGATTACAGACAACTGTGGCACTCATACTTCTCTTAACAGTTTCAGTGAAAAATAAAGTCTTTAACTTCTTTCCTTACTAACTGTACATTCATTCAGCCAATGAACACCGGAGCAATGCACATACCGAAATGCAGATATAAAGTAGCCTTTTTAAAATCTCGGCTAAAATTTCTGGACAAAAGCAAGACAATAAAAAAATATTTGATATACTTTAAAATAAACTTACTGTGTGAACCACTACAAAGTCATGAGAGGATGTGTGTGCCAACATATTTTAAAAATTGCCTGGCATAATTTATGCCCCTGCACCATACCTTTGTGTGGTGATGATGATGATAGCCACAAATTTGAAAATTTTTGGATTATCACATGCAAATGGTAAAATTTTCTAGTTAATTGAATTAGTAAAGAAATATGGGGAAGAGATAATAAATGAAAATGATGTAACTGAAGTTTTCTACTGAGAGGACAATATCCCAATCAACTAATGGTTGGAAAAATCTGTATTATGGTTTAAATGTTGCTACTGATAGTGAAGAAAGTGAAAAAGAAGTTGTTGAGAATGAAAAAAAAAATGTTGACTGCCAGTTTACTTGGAATTCTTAAAACAGCAGTTACACATTTTGAAGAATAGAACTTTGTAACTAGATATGAAATTACGCCTGTCTGTAGAATTAAAGAGAAATTATTAGCACAAAAGATGAAATAGCTTAATGAGCTTACTGTAGAAATGTTTAATAAAACAAAGAACTAATGACTTTTTTTTTTTTTTTTTTTTTTTTGTAAATTGTGATTCCCTTAAAGGCACAAATGCTTCATATTACATAAACAATTATATCATGTTTTTAAATTTATAATTTACGCATCTCATCTTACTAGATTTACACTGATGATCTAACATCTGGAATCTCCAAAATCCTAGCAATTCTAGATATTGGACTTTGTTCTGTATATGCCTTAGATAGACATATCATTTGTGAGGGATGTTTCTGAAAACAGCAGGGCAATATTTATCTCATGCAAAGCATATATTATTTGGATAATTAGAAGTTGTATACAGTGGACAAATTATGACATGCACGACAGCTTATTTAATCTTTCTCAGCAAAATATTATTATCACTGATATACAGTAAAAGTGATCTTTATACAGAAAAAATATCTTTTGTCAATGACATCAAAGCAATAATAACAACAAAAAGCCAAACTGCATTTTGATATCAATACAGCCTAATGCATATACACAGGGTGGCTCAGAATTTATCATTCACATTCCATGGGGAGATAGGGAAAACACTAGGAAACCGATTTCACATAGGGAAGTATGTTTGTTCACAAACATCATCTACATGAATAAAAATGGACAAGTAAAGTTAACACAAGGAAACAGTACAGTTAAGTGGTAACGAATGCGACCTTTATTCCAACAAGGTAAAGCACAGGTTCACAGTAGGTGCTCAAAATTGAGACAATTTACATGAGCACAGGCTGCTGAACATTTACATGAGTTAGTGCTGTGGCAGTGACTGTTGAACATTTTCAAAAATACCCGACATCATATGGACAATTCCTGCGGTGGCTACTTCACGTAACAAGGTCCATTTCACTGTCGACGGAGGTCTTGTACACCGTCTTTTATGCCCCACCACAAAAAGAAATCCATGGGCAATAAATCAAGTGACCTAGGTGGCCAAACGAATGTTCCCACCTCTGCCGATTGATCAAGCTCCAAATTTCCGGTTCTGTAATCCCGGTCCGGTTCGGCACCAATCACGCACAATTGTGCTCATAATGTTGATACCACATTTATCTCGGAGGATATACACAGGAACAGCACCCAGAAAAGTCACTAACACTGTCTCGAGAAATATTAGGTATTTCCGACCATCCAGTCGGGGCGGCAATAAGTAAGATCCCAACAAACAGTCACCAATGACTCATTTTCATACATTTACGGCAAAACGATGTTGCATAGTGCGAGTTCTTGTTTGTAAACCTACACATGTGAACTGTGTGTATTGAAAACACCTTCACGAGTGAATGAAGAAGCTCCATATGTAAAAAGGGCAAAAGCTGGAAAACGGGTTCACAGCACCTTTCTGCATGAACAATTGTGCAAATTAGACACACACTTTGGATAACTGTTAGGATGTGGTAACTGCATCCTTTGCAGATGGTAAGCATGTACACGTTCCTCATGCAGTATCTGCCATAATGCTGACTGAGACCCGAAGCTGCTGAGCAATAGCTCGTGTGCTTGTATTCGAATTATCATTGATATGCTACTGAGAGTCTGCGTCAGTCGTCTTCTCCCCATATCCTACATATTGCTGTGCAGTGAACCATGTTCATACAGATTGCAATGCACACGTGCAAACATTTCAAACTCTTCTGTTGGGGTATCAGTCTTCGTAAACTTGCCCAGCTCGGCGGCCACTTTCGCCAACTGCCACATATACGAGATGCTCTTGATGCATAAAATGATTCATCTTATCACAAATAAGTCAGCTCGTGCTCTGATGACAGCAAGAGTGGTCGGCAATCAATATAATAGTTGGGTACAAACAGCGCCCTTGCATACATACTTTCCCATGTGAAATCAGTTTCCTGACATCTAAGTTTTGAACAACCCTGTATATATATATATATATACAGGTTTGTTATATATGTGTGTGTACGTATACACATATGCATATGCATTCATGCAAACAGTTTAAAAGGAAAATAAATGTTATTGGACTTATTACAAAATTTACACAAGAACAATGCAATAATAAACATTCTTTAAATAAAGGAAATGGAAGTAAGAAATATGACTAGTTCTTACATCACCAGAAGAATATTCTGTATCAATTTAATGCTTATTTAAAATTATACAGAAAGCTTTTCTTGGTGTTAAACCAATGCTATACCTTTGCACTTAAAAATTTTCAATGACTCCGAAACATGAAAATATTAAGGAAGTTAAAAAAAAAAAAAAAAAAGCCAGCGAATAAATTGTATGCTTAATACTCTTATTTCTTCTTTCAGATTAACCTCATGAGAACTTTTGCCATCCAGATTCTACATCGGTTAGGGCTTTATAAGGGGCTCATTGAGGTTCTGGTAACAACAAGGAAAAGGGAAAATTCTAATTTCAAGGATTGTAAACACTTTCATGAGTGGAAG